AGGGAGAGCTAGAAGTGAAGAGAAAGGAGGGCCCCTGCCTTTCTGCATTCTGTGCCAAGCAGTACTTACATTGACACAGGCTGCTAGTGGAAGGACAAATGCTCTGGGTTCCCTCTTCAGCTCTGCTCCCTTGAGTAGTTTTAGTACTGGACTTCTCTGTGACTCAGTCTTCCCACTTGCAAAATATCCATCAGGCAAAGTATTCTATGTACTTCTGGTAAAAAATGAGATAGCTGCTATAGTCCAAGCTAGTCAAATATGCCTGTGAAAGAAGACCAAATTTGCTTATGAGTTTTACAGTGTGATCATCCCAGCAAAACCATTCAGTTTGAGCGGTACCTGCCTAAAAGGATATTACTGTAGTGTGATATTTATTCATAGCACTCATAGAATTCAGTATTTAAACACAGAATTTAGTATACAAACATGTAATAAACTTAAGAAAAACGAAGTCACAGCATTATTTTTTTGAAGTTATGAAATAGAGGAGTTTTGAGCAGAGAAAAGAAATACAGGACTTGATTTTGCTTTCTAGATGAACTGAAAGAAACTATTTGCTTGCAGTGGGTTACGCTTGTTTACACTGATGTGAGAATCATCACACAATTGTGGGCTGAAAGATACATTCTGCTCTTCTTCAGGCAGAAGAAATAACCCTCACTCTTGTATTTAACATCTTCCTTTTTTTTCTTATATTGTCAGTGAGTAAAAGCATGAGATAAGCATTTGATAATTTGTTATTACAGAGCTGTGTTTTTTCTTGTTTTGGTTTGGTCAGTTGTTTTGTTTTCAACAAAATGGAGGTATGCATAGAAGGCTTTCATTCTAGCTACCATGATTTTTTCTTCACATCTATTTTGAGTTATGAACACAGCATGTAGTCTGACTAATTTAAATTAATATTTAGGTATTTACTTTGCTCCCATATGGGCATGCATGTTAGTTTTTAGTGTAGTTTTGAAATCCATTGGACCAATATGAAAGGGCTGAGAAACTGTTGAGCCTCCTCAGTGCCCAGTAAATTTTTTTTTAGATATACAAGCTAATTTGTACCTTCTTAAACTGGTTTACAGTAAAAGAAACATGAACAGAGGTAACTGTCATCAGAAGCTGGCTGTGAAGTACGAGATTTTCTGTAAAATGTGACCTCTGAAGTACATTCTTACTGCAGTGAACTCAGACTTGCAGATGTCATTTCCAATAGCTTACCAACCTACTTGTAGCACGGGGTTAATAGTGAGGTCAGAGTGAAGCCTGTGACTCAATTTGGAAGGGATACAAAGTTTGGAGGAGTATATTTTCCTCATTATGGGGGGATTTGCAGGTGTAAATGCCATAGAGAGTGTATATCTCTTGCTTTTTACTGGAAAAATAGACAAGGTTGTACAGATGTTCCACTGATATCTTCCAGAATCACTAGTACACTTAAAGCTGAAATTTGTCCTGTAAGAAACTGGTTTCCTGTACAGTGTAAAATTTATTGTATAGTTGCAACTAAAGCCAGTGAAGAATCTTTAATAGTGAAAAAATGGGTGCATATCTTCCAGTGACTGGATGCACTGACTAAATGCTGAGGCCATATGAAATACACAATTCTGAGGGCAGAATCTGCGTCAGTACCTTACCTGTCCCTCCTGGAGAGGTTCCTGGTTGAATTGGCACATGCTATTTAGAGTAAAACCTTCCATGTTAGTGAACATAAGTCAGGATAAGTAAGCCATAAGACATGGTACAAGGATGTATGTGTGTGTGTTATACATTCCCTCTCTGCCCTGATCAGTAAATCTATGGCTGTCTTCTCACAGGCAAGATGCAGCAATAATAGCAATATTAGAAGAGATTCTTTAACCTGCTTCTCCATTTCTTCACCTGTTCCAGCTGCAGACAGTCATCCTATTCCTCTGCATTCACTTACTTTGCCTCACCCTCTGCTCATACCTGTCATCACTCGCATGTTCCATTCCTCAAAGTTCCTCCTGTTGTCAGATGAAGCAGCAAGTGACTCTCCTTTCTACCGCCTTTTGGCTGTCCATGTATTTCTCTGTCCTGCAGCCTTCCCTCCTCTCAAGCATTCTGGCACTCTGCACAGGCAATTTTATTCCTTCAGTGGCAATTCTTCCCCATTAACCAAAAATCAGTAGAACAGAACAGGGAGAGGTACTCAACAGTTGCATTTAGTCAGAATTTTCCAGACGTGTGACTTACGCTCTATTCCTACGATTAAATTTCTGGCAAATACCATGTCCAGACAAAGGAGGCCCACATAAGAACGGACAAATGCCTGCAATGCTGTCTAAAACAAATAGCAAAATTGTAACAGAGCTCAGTAAGAACAATATAGAATGTTGAGTATTGGGATGCTATGGAAACCTAAGTATTCCCTGTCTGATGAAATAACAGCGAATCTATCTGAAGAAATGGACTGCAAGTAGCTGAGCACATAATCTAGATGTGATGTGACATCTTTGAAGTCAAAATACAGTTTACTCCACATTCTTTTTTATTAACTAAGTCTCAACCTAAATAGCCAGCAATTCTCAGGGGTCCTTTTGGGATACTTCATTTACAGTGCATGTATGGATTTCATGTGGGATGATCCTCATTCTGTTCTAAATCGCTGGTGTGACCCACAGCAAATAATTCAGATGCTAAGCTTATGTTTCCCATTAATTAAAGAAAGGTTAGTTCTTCAGTATAGTAACACTAAAATGAGGAAGAACTATGATATACTGCAAAAAATGGACTTGTTGCTCAAATCATAGAATCAAAGAATCATTAAAGTTGGAAAAAACCTCTAAGATTATCTAGTCCAATCATCAGCCCATTCCCACCATGCTCATTGAACCATGCCCCTCTACCTTTCCACGTTTCTTGAGCACCTCCAAGACTGGTGATTCTTCCACCTCCATGGGCAGCCATTCCAGCACCTGACCATTCTTTCTGAGAAGAAATTTTTCCTAATATCCAACTTGAACCTCAACTGGTGTAACTTGAAGACATTCCCTCTTATCTCGTTACCTGGGAGAAGAGGCCAAATCCCAGCTCACTACAGCCTCCCTTCAGAAAGCTGTAGAGAGTGATAAGGTTTCTCCTGAGCCTTCTCTTCTGCAGTCTGGACAATCACAGTTCCCTCAGCCGCTCCCCATAGGTCTTGTGCTCCAGGCCCTTCTTTTCTGGACACGCTCCAGGACCTCGATGTCTTTCTTGTAGTGAGGGGCCCAAAAATGAATGCAGTACTCAAGATGTAGTCTTACCAGGGCAGAGTACATAGGAGCAATCACCTGCTCCTGCTGACAACGCTATTTTGATACATGTCAGCATGCCATTGGTCTTCTTGGCCACCTGGGCACACTGCTGGCTCATGCTCAGCCAGCTGTCAACTAGAACCCCCAGACCCTTTTCCTCCATGCAGCTTTCCAGCCACTCTGCTACAAACCTGTAGCAATGAGTGGGGTTTCTGTGACCAAAGTGCAGGACCCAGCACATGGTCTCGTTGAACCTCTGGCCTCAGCCCACCAATCCAGCCTATGGATTTTGCAGGACATGTTCATCTGCAGCTAAGTGTATTAGGAACTGGTAGACTGAAAGATCTCACCCAGAACTGCAGCCTAAGCAGCAACAACAGCTACACCAACAGATTGGAGAACAAGGCATTGTTCTCTTTTTTTCACTCACAACCAAGCCTGGTTTCATATTGGTTGTCAAAGACAGCCGTCAGTAGGGCAGTGCTGCAAACATGCAGTATGTGCAGGACATGAGCCACAACTTTGTGAACTTAGACAAGTGGGGAAAAAACTAGTGAGAGAAATATGTTTGCTAGGACCAGCACAGACAGGCTCTCTCTGGTAAAGCCGTAATTTGTCCTATAGGTTGGTAATCTCAAGCTGGTGCTTGATGGATGACTGAGTGTTCATATTGCCGCAATGACGCATGGAATTGATTGGCACCAGCAGAAGACAAAGCAGCCTTCCTGTGCTGAGGCATTTTGTCTGTGAAGCCATCACTCCTGTGGCAATGAATGAACTGGTCTCCGATCATCACGGGACTCCTTTTGGAGTACTAGGAAGTGAAATGAAAAGCTTAAAGCATGCTGTTTGGCATCACAGTACTTATACCAGTCATTCTTCATGTTTCTACCGTATTTACAATGCTTATTAAAAACTGGAGGGGGGAAGAGTGATATCAAATATCAAGAGATGCTCCAAGGAGTGGAAAGACGTATACAGACATACTGTTTGGTAACTGAATGTCGGGTAAATGCTGCATTAGGCAGTAAACATAGAGGCTGGATGACAGCACCAGTTCTTGAAGGATTTATAAAATGCCATGGAAAACAGAGGAGTTTAAACTAAAATGTAGCAAAGGCTTAAGAACTGTGGTTAGCTTTACACCTTGTGTGCACTTTCACTCTAGGAAGTCAAGGAGGTGTGCAGATCACTGCCAGACTGAGCCTGACGGTCTCTGGGACTGGCTGCAGGGGCTGGTACTTACTGGGCATACAAGCTGAGGCTGCAGGGGCAGCTCTGAGCTCTGACTGAAAAGCAGCATTCACAGCCGTTGAGCAGTCCTGGTCTTCTTCCCACACCTGCGGTAGATGCTGTGCGGCTCCGAGCTCGTACCTGCAGTCACACAAAATAACTGACACTTGCTTACCAATGGCTAAGAGAAGTGAGCACAGTCGGATTTTTCTGTAGAAGCACTTTAGAGACCTTTCGCTAGCAAAGCGAGTTGACGGAACGGGGCCGGGGAGACCGGACGGGGCGAGAGAGCGCTGAGAGCCGTGGGGCGGCCTCGCTCCGCCGGGCGGGCGCGGCGACGGCAGGGGGGCGTTGCTGGCGAGGTGGGCGCCGATCAAGCGGAGCGGCCGGGGCAGAGCTGCAGGCTGGGCGGTGGCAGGGGGTGGCGCCACGGGCAGCGCGGCGCAGGGCGGTGGCCCTGCAGCCCGGGCGGGCGGCAGGTGGGAGCGGGCTGCGGCCGGCGGTGAGCGGGGCGGGGACGGGATGGGCTGCGCGCCCAGCATCCACGTCTCGCAGAGCGGCGTGATTTACTGCCGGGACTCGGACGAGTCCAATTCCCCCCACCAGACCACCACCGTCTCGCAGGGTGCCGCCACACTGCACGGCCTCTTCGTCAAGAGCGACGCGGCCGACTCCATCCCCGCCGTCCTCGCCTACCAGAGCCGGCAGCCGCCGCCCTGCTCCGGCCCCCGCCGCAGGGAGCCCAGGGCGCCGCGCTGCTGCGGCATCGAGGCGGAGACCCAGACCGGCAGCACCAGCCTCAAGGTGAGCGCCGAGCGGAGCGCGGTGGGAGAGCCGCTCGGCGCTGGGGTGCAGCTGTCCCGCTGACTCACCGCTCCCTTCCCGCCTGCAGAGCCCCGGGGTGGAGAGCTGCGCGGCCGCAGGGGAAGGGCTGCTCCGGCGGCTGCGGTGGGTGGCGGGGACCGGGCGTCCGGGAGAGGTCCGCCGGGTTGGTTCCTCTTAGGAGAAACGCGCCTCCTGGAAGCTGAGCTCTTCCATTTCTCTGTCGGTCGGAATGAGCTGCTGCCGTCCGTAGGAACTCAGCCGTCCTCATCCGCACGGCCGGCAGCCGCGGGCCTCTGGCAGCGGGCGGACAGCGGCCGTCTGCCGGCTCCGCTCCGAGCCGGAGCGTCTGCGGCAGCGGCCGGCGGTTCGGCGGAGAGCGGGCGGACAAGGCGCTGCTCCGGGATGCTGCACTGACCCAGCGCGTGCTGCCGGCGTCGTGGGGCACTGGTTTCCCTGCGAGTTCCCTGTAGGGTTCTGTTTTGCAGCGTCGCCCCGCTCCAAAACTTGCTCACAAAACAAGCGGTGCGGTGATCGCAGAAGCGCCCCAGGGTGCGCCTCCTCATTCGTATTAATAAAGACAGGTATCGTGCCGTAAAGTTGTTCTCTGGGATTAAATAGATTCTATACTCGGCTATAATTAAGAAATTAGGAGATGAGGTGAACTTAAAATATACTCTGTAATTAAAAAAAAAATAATCAGAAAACATCTAATGAAAACGTAGGTTAGGTCACAGGAGGAAAAAAAACGATCACCGAAAAAAAAGAAAGAAAAGAATAACCAAAGCAACTGAATCCACTTCAATCCACAAAGTTAAAAATAAATAAATAAATAAATAAATAGATTTGTTGATTTTTTTTTTCTACTCACAGTGGGATGCTTTGTGAGATAAACTACAACTCTTCAAAATGCAAAATAAAATAGTTGTGCAAATTAGAAATTATTGCACAATTCTTTAAGTTGAAATTTGGAAGGAGGTTCTTAAAGTGGCAATACCATTTTTTGTTCTTAGGGATTGTTTATACTTTGTTTACCTTTTTACTGTTACACCATGCACTCTTGTAAGCAAATGTACTTGTCAGCTTTCTGGTTGTCAGAAGTAAGAGTATTTCAGATGTTTCTCAGCTTCGTAATTGGCACCCAGATGTCATTGCTTCAGTGTTTTGCACGAGCGTGGGGACCTATGCTCAGGGAGATGGTGCTTCTATTCAGTTAAGAACTGCTCCGATGATACAGTGGAAATGTTTCCATCATACGTGCATTAAGATCTGTAAAATATTTTTTGTCATTTTAAAATGAAGTCAGAGCTCCCCATTTTTTCCATCATTCCTTCTACCATTTCCTCTGGGATAATAGGTTCTTTTGTGACCAAAATAAGGTCCGAATATTACAGAACTATCACAACAGCAAATAGTAAACTTCTCTGATAGAGGAGTTAAGGGGACTTGCTGAGTATTATAGATGATAGAGATGATAGACTGTGTAAGATGAGTCTGCATCATAATTTGAAATAGGACCCCCAATCTGAGGTTCCCAGTCATACGCTGTACTACTAAAATATTTATGTGCAAGCACTGAAGTGAAAAACTGCCATCCCTTGCCCATGTTTAATTCTTGATAAAACACATGCTTTATGTATTAGCTATGGCCAACTGATAATCATGATTTACTTACTGCATCATATCACTGCAGACAGTAGATATAGTCTTCTGTGATGAGTTGACTGCAACACCAAATCCTATTTGTAAACAATGCAAACAGCCTCATGGCAGCAAACTATTAACATCTCAAACCTTTCATTGGCCTTTATAAAGATAAGATGCACTTAATTTGCTTAATTGAAGGCTAACGTTGAGTATGAGATGATACTAAGTGAATAATAGTTGCTTGATCCATTGTCTAAATATCACCAGTTTTCAAGTGCAAATATACCAGCTGTTCAGCAAGAAGAAGAGGCTTCTTGGACATCTCTATGGTGATTGGAAAAGATAATTAAGTATTTCCTCTGTGGGACTTAAAGAATGCAAATGCATATTTTTATTACAGCCAGTACAGATCTTGAGCAAAAGTTTGTGCATAGATGGACACTTCTTGCACACTATAGTACGTAAGCATTGGCCAGAAGACTACAAGAACAAACAAGCTTTACAGCTCTTATCACTAAAACATAGCAACAAATGGGAAAGCAAAACAAACAAACAACTCCTCAGTCTCTCATTGACTGATTACTTTATCCTCTTCTTGAAATGACAGGAAGCTTCTTTGTGGAAGAGCAAAACGTGTTTATGAACCTCCAAAGCTTTTGACAATTTTCAAGCGTTTCCATATCAAAACAAAAGCAAAGCTCAGGAATAATAAGAAATTGAATGGACCAGTATCTTTAGTATTAGATCATGACAGGAGACCTTATTGCTCTCTTCCAATATCTGAAAGGTGCTTAAAGCAAGAGTGGGGCTGGTCTCTTCTCACTGGTGACAGGTAACAGGTGAGGGAAATGGCCTCAAGTTGCACCAGGGTAAGTTTAGGTTGGATATCAGGGAACACTTCTTTGCAGAAAGGGTTGTTAAGCACTGGAATTGGCTCCCAGGGAGGTGGTTGAGTCACCATCCCTGGATGTGTTTAAAAACCATTTGGATGTGGTGCTCAGGGACATGATTTAGTGGAGGGTTGTCAGGGTAGTATGGTTAGGTCATGGTTGGACTCAGTCCTTAAGGTCTTTTCCAACTTGAACAATCCTATGATTCTATGATTCTAAGTTCTGATGTAGAAGCACAGGTAAGATGACCCTCCTTAATATATCATGCACCTAGCTTTTCTGATTTACTTATTTGTGTTTTATTTTACTGGGAAATATCAGAAATGATGTAGCTGTCGGTTACAAATCCGAGGACGTCTAAGTGCTATGGAGAATACTCAGAAACCCAGGTACAGATAGTGCTGTCCCGAGGTCCACAGACCCTGGTGAAATACAACGCTGTACACTGCCTTGATCTAAAGTGTGTTTCTTCTTTTTACAGAAATATCATGTCCAAGAGTGCAAAAAATCTGTACTGCACTGCCAGCACTTCTTGTTTTGTTTAAACTGTACTACTGTGTAACTACTGGCTGGTAATACATTCTGTAGAACATGGGACATGTTAGCAACAGTAAGCTTGAAAAACAAAGCTCTAGACAACACTCAGTGTGACGATCAGTTCACAACTTGATTTGACATCTAAGACATCATAGTTCTCTTGAACATACTGTGGGACTGCAGAGCTGGGAAATGAAAATTAGGGGCAATCTGAAAAGTATTGGTATGCTGAAACTATGAGACAGTGCAGGCTATTTTCAATTTAGCCCAGCTGGTTCTGTGAGAGGTTCTGGCTGGAACAACTCTTGCCATAAAAAAGGTTGCTAGTTGAGAAGTGCTTTTCTTGGACTAAGCCCAGACTTCCTATATCAGCATATTGAAGTGATTTTGGCAAAGATTTGCTGCTCCGTATTTGACCTTTTCATTCCTTTTCATTCCTTAACAGGTGCTGTAGTTGTACTCCTACGTGCTGACAGTGGAACTGTGTAGACTGAAGTGTTACAGAATGGAGAAAACAGTGTCATCAGAAAATTATAAGCTGCTTGGCAAATAAAAAAGAGCAGTCTGATAGGTTAAATTTGGCAAATAGCACTCTGGACTTCCAGAACTATTTTAGGTGATAGACATTTCTAGCATGCTTGTTTTTTATTTGTTTCCTTTTTCCTTAGCTGGTATAGGAAATGTGTTGTAAAACTAAAAGAGATCAATTTGACTCAGTCATTTGGACACGGAACCAAAAATCATCTCAGGATGACTGCACCCCCATAAGTCTTTCAGAGCCCAAAGTAACCAAGTAACAGTAGCACCTATTTCCTACTTCGTACCATTTGCTATGTGCAAAACAAGACTCTGAGGCTTTATTGTTTGAGGAGCCTGATTTGGATCCTTTGTCAATTTCTAATACTCCTTGACAGCACTGAATGCAGAGAAGAGGGATTTCAAACTGACCACACAGGTTAAAGAAATAATGCAAACTAAGACCTTATGCAGTACATCCTGAGAATAATGTATGTTCTTGGAATACAGAAGGTAACAGTTGATAATATCTTTCAATTTCTGTGTGCTTTATAATTGCTAAGGTGTCATACAGAAAGTGGGTGCATCATTTCCCCTCTTCTCTCCTTGAGGAGAGGAATAACCTGGCAAGCTATATACTAACAGTGGTGGATTGGTTTAGAAAGTGAAGTAACTCAGCAGTTTTAGCTGTACAACTAAACCTCACACCTGCTCTGTAGGTACTCTAACCCAGAGCAAATGTACCAAACAGCTAACACAAACCCTTCCTTACAGGTGGCTTCTCTACGTCCATCATTACTTTGCCCTATTGCTGTAATGAGTGTTGAGGTGCCAGACTCTCAGCTGTGCTTAATCCTCTTGAGGGTCTTTCAACTTCTCGGTGTTTTATTTCAGGCAGGTTGCTGTACCTCTTCTAGTTCCATGGGTATGAGTGGTCCTAGATCAGGTAGCTGCACACTCAGCGGAATAAGAACTGGTAAGAGTGAGTAGTGAGGCAGATGCAGCGTGGAGCCAGGAATGAAAAAGCAGCCATGCTTTGGGCTGCATTTTCCTCTGATGTCAACTGTGGTGCTGCCAGATTTCAGGGTATTTTATTTTTGTAGACCATTCTCTGCTTGTATTTCCTGGCTACCTGTTGATCTCTCCTCCTTTCCCAACTGCTCTTTGTCTGTCTCAGTAACAGGCTTATTTAGTGAAGCCCAAAGTGAAGGATGCACGTTATATGTGAAACTTGTAGGTGTTTCTTTAATGTACGTGTAACTTTTCTGAAATTTCCTTTGACGAAGGCTCTATGTACCTGTGTGGTTGCTAGGAGATAGCATGTGAAGTGTTTTGTAGTGTAGCAGTTTGCCTCTTTTAGGGGATCGTTGTCATGGTAACCAAGGCCCAGAA